ATACATACATACATACATACATACATACATACATACATACATACATAGGGAAGCAAAAGAAAATGAACTTTTAAGGTAATAAAAAACAGCCAATTTAAAGGCACTGGTTGTAGCCAGATTCAGACACCAACCTGCAAAGGAAGGGCATGCAAGCACAGTCTGTGATTTTTTTTTTTTAAAAAAAGAACTCCACTTACTCTCTCCTTTGTGTTTCTTTTTATTCATTCAAAAACAAAACTTCCTCTGTTAACAACACATACACAAACACACACACACACACACACACACACACACACGCATGTACATGACCACTTTAAAACTCATCTGACTTGCATTTTTATATACACATGGTGTATACATCTAAACCCATCCAACCACCTGCTAGCACAAAGGGAAGGACATATTGGCAAATCAAGTCCTGGGTCATTTTTTTTTCTGTCCCTTGTGTTTGGAGAAGTCATAATAGGATGCATGTCAGATCAGTTTCAAAAATAGTTCCTGGTATTGCAAGGAAGACCTTTGTAAGAATCTCCTTTGTTTTACATGTGGAGCCTCATGCTGGTCTATGATGGGAATAAACTCTTCTCTCTCACATGGCAGTAAAAGAAATCACAGTGGCACCTCAGTACTCATTGTTAATTGGTTCTGGGAGGTGTGGTGAGTACCAAAAATGTGTGGTGAGTACCAAACAAATATTTCCCCTGAGAAATAATATAATGAGTCACGAGACAGCCCCAAACCATTAAAAAGCAAAAGTTAGAATATTTCGGACATGTGATGCAACACCCAGAAAAATACGGTATACTTAACTTAATCATCCAGGGAAAGATTGAAAGCAAATCAGGTCCAGGCAGAAGAAGAACATCATGGCTTCAAAATCTAAGGGACTGGTTTCGACAAAACTCACTTTTTTGTGAGGCTGTTGATAAAAATAGGATTGCCAAAATGATCGTCAATGTCCGATAATGGATATAGCACTTCTTCTAGAAGAAGACAAGACAGCTAACACTCATAAGCTCTAGCTTGTACGTTGAGTACCAAACAAACGAGTACCAATTTCCATGTAAAAATGTGTTAAGTACCAAATTTGATGAGTTTCAAGGTACCACTATAGCTTCTTGTTAAGTTATGCAAAATTAAGATGCATCCAGACTGGCATGACCATATTTGAAAAAAAAAAGTTCATTCTTACTCTTCCAACTCACGGAAAAACATGAGTGTCAACATTCAACAAATGAAGCCTGTCTATTGATAATACCAGTAATAGATAATATCAGATTCCCCAGCTTTATTTATCAGCTACAGTAGATGTACATAAGGCTCTCTTCTATTGGGTAAGATGGACTTAATAATCATTGTCTCACTAAAGATTTTATTGTTAAATGTATGAACCCCTACCAAAGAAGATGGCATTTTCTACTAAACAGGTGTAATACTATTACCTTTCAACACATGGTGGATTAAAGCATATGAGAGCTAAACAGATTGCAATATTTGCATTTCTGGAATATCTGAAGAATACTAGAACCTATCAGAGATAAGTAATTTGTCTTCCAGGTTTTTTTAAAAATCATCTGAAGTCTTGTAAAGATTATCTTTGTTGCTAAAAAATAAAATTGAAGGGCCAAGTTTGAAGATAAACAAAATAAATATAAGGTTGTTATATTCTTCCTGTATTATAGTATATTTTGTTAATTTGTTTAAATCCAGTGCAGTCTGGAGTAGGCTATGTTTAAGAGGAGGAAAAACAAACTTCTTTAACTTTATACCCTTCTGCAGTTTTCCAATACTGAGTTGCATTCTTGAGCTTTTCTATATGTAAGAAAGATGCAAAGTCAACTTTCCTTCACCCTCATTTCAACTCCAAGTGACCTCATGTCCATGAAGTTTTCTTGTCAATATTTAATTTCTGTTCTGTTATGGATTAAGTGGGCCAGCTTATAACCACACCCAATTCTGTTTTTTTTGCAGCAGCAGCAGCTGTAAAGCCGATGTCACAGTCATTAGGCAAGCCATTTGTTCACTATGGAACTCCCCACCCCCCCAAAAATGGAAGACATTGCTGGTTTCCAGCAAAAATGTCATAAATTGTAGCCATGTGAGATCGCTGCAGATGGATGCATGCTTGTTGCCGAGCACCCAAAATACAATCATGTGACTAGGGGGAGAACTTCAAATTTGGGTCATTAGTCCCTTTTGGGGTAGGGACTGTCATAACTTGAGATGGTCAGTGACGGTCCTAAGACAAGGACTATCTCTGTATAAATAAGCCACATTTTTATCCATCTATGTAATTAAAGAATGGGTATAAATTAAGAAAAAAATAAACCATTGCATATATTATTTTTTGCTTAGTCAAAGACTGCTTCCAGAGCTGTAGTTTAAAAAAAAAAAAGACACAGAAAAGAAGGTTTAAAAATGATTTTACAACATGGAATCTGAGCCTCGGATCTTTACCTTTCACATCTAGATGGAATTATGGGAGACCTTCACTCAGCTTCAGTGGGTATGAAGAAATCCATCCAAAGCAATATAGATCATTGGCCATATTGTGGACGTCTGGTTTCTGTCACACGATTCTAAGTATTGCAGGACAAAAATGTAATTCATCAGTGCATTTACACAGGAAGCTACTAAGAAAAAACCAGCATATTTGTATCTCCTTTCTCATATGACTTTCCTACTGCCCAATGCTCTTTGAAAGTTTATGAAAGAGAAATAAAATATCCTGCCCATTTCTTGCTGGTACATACTGTTGCCATTAGGTGGACGGCCAGGGAAGAGATGGGAATCAAGCTTTTTTTAATTGCAACGAATCAAAAGGTAGTTTAAGACAATAAAAAGCCTAAATGCTTTAAGACTTTAGTATGAAATATTTAATATTAGGTAGTGGAGTACCTAAAATTATTTCAACAGCTGAATCTACTGGCAGGGGGGATATGATAGCATAGAACAGAATAACATTTTACTGAAATCAGTGATGAATTACACGGACATTTTCTAGAATTAGTTAGAATCTTTTTGTGTTTATACAGAATGTTAGATTTTCCTGGTGCTCCATTTCAGTGTGAACTATTTAAAGAGGTCAAATTCCCACAACCAAAGGCCTATACCCTTATTCAACATTGTATTTTTAAAAAAATCCTTTTGGCTTAAATGCCTAGTAGTTTATTTTTTTTATACTTTAGTTTCTAAAGTACTTACCTCTAGATTCTTCATCAGCCTTGCAGTGCCTCAGGTTATCACAAGAGTGCTCTCTAAACAATGTGTGCATTTTAAAAATGAGCAGCAGCATTTCCTAATATATTTCTTCTATTCCTTGCTTGGTTATATAGCCTTTAAGTTTGCACAGTGGATGCCAAAACTCTGTAGGTAATAATGAATTCTGTAAGCAATTTCAGTTGATATTAGACAATCAATAATTCATATCAGGAAAACCATAATTAAATATGCTAACCTGTATGGAATATATTTGGTAAACTAAATCCATGTGGCATTTTGGGCAAGTGTCATCTGAATATAGAAGACAGAGTATCATGTCACATGGCTTCAAGTGCTAAATTTCAGCCATTAATTTCAAACAGCCTTCTAGAGACTTTTTCGTCAGAGAAGTGGTACTGGATGATAATTAGTATACAATGAGTAAAATAAAACATGGACTTTACTTGTACAGAAAACAAATATAAAAATGGACAACAAAATTAATACCTTCGCCCATCCTTTCTTTTCCTCTCTTATTTAGCCTGGGTTATTAAACACCTGGAAACAAAGCTCATTGCAATGTTTTAGGGAATATATTCCAGGGAAAAATGTATAGCATTGAATTATAATTAAAGTGATGTATCTATGTATGCATGCATGCATGTACATACATACATGTATACATACATACATACATACATACAGTGGTACCTTGGTACTCAACTACTTTGAAACTCATCAAATTTGACTAAATGCATTTTGATGTGAAAATTTTGTCTCAGTACTCACCGTTTGTTTGATACTCAACACACAAGCTAGAATTTGTCAGGGTCGGCTAGCTTGTGACTCACTACATTATGAGAAAAGTTTGTTATTCGTTGTTTTTGGTACTCATCCTGTTTCCAGGAACCAATTAATGATGTGTACCACTGTATGTATGTTTGTTTTCTTGGCTCTCCACTATATTCTTAGGAATCTTTTTCAACATCCAAGTTCAAAAGTATCAATACTTTTGCTATCCTTCTTCTATAAAGTCCAACTTTCACTTCATTGTGATGACCCAG